CTATATATATATATATATATATATATAAATTAAAAAATTAAATATGTTATAAAATCACTACAAAAATAGCCATTTTGTTTCAACACCTTTGGTGTGTCTTATCAAAAATGATGATGTTGAATGTAGATTGTAGAATAAAAAAAGTTTTAAAAGGTTCAAATTAATTAACCACGACTCGTAAGGGGAAATGCTGTTACATGAGCTGAAATGACCAATCAAAATACAAGTATACGAGAATTCAAAAAACTTGACAACGAAGCAAGGTTATAATAACTATGAAATGCTTTAAAGCTAGTATTTACATTAGTCGGACTATTGTCCTCATCTTTGTCGCCATATTTGCTAACAACACCGAGCAAAAGTGGCGATCCAGAGACGTTAGATAAGGAATTGGTCAGTATAAGTAGTACACTACAACGTAACAACTACCCTGGGTACATGGCAGCAGCCCCCCAAAACTGGGATAGGCGGGTACCAGAGGAGGAGGAGGAGGACAACAACCCTCAGAAAACAGTCTGCCTGCCTTATGTGAAGGGGTTATCAGAGAAAATACAAATTATCTGCGGTCCATATAACATCAGGACAACCTTCAAAAGCGTGACAACACTTCGCAGATATCTCTCCCGAGTAAGAACCCCTCATGACTAAAGACTGTGTGTACGCAATCCCGTGCAGCTGCGGAAAGGAATATAAAGGAGAGACAGGCCGCCCCCTCAAGGTAAGGCTTCAAGAACACCAGAAAGCTGTAACGCGAGGGGAAGTAGAAAAAAAATCAGGCGTGGCTGACCACATATGGAGAGAGAAGGAGATCACCGCCCCTGTGGGATCATGTTGAGATCATAGACAAGGAACACCATTGGAAAATTCGTAAACTTAAGGAATCAGCACATATGCTAGGCCACAAAAATCTCCTGAGCCGACCAAGCATAGAAATAAATACAATATGGGAACCAGTAATAAGGAGTTCCAGAGAAAAAAGCAATGATAACAAAAAGTTGCAATATGAACTCTGGTAAAAACATGCAAAAACAGCAAAAAAAATTGCAATATGAGCACTGGTAAAAATGATGCTGAAAACATTAGGTTTATAATACTCAGAAGTTCACACCCAGATGTCCTCAAGGACACATGGCACAGTGGATAAAGGCGTTGGTTAGATCCAGTGACAGACCCAAAGAAGGTGAGTTCAATACCTGGTTAAGGCAGTGGAGAACTTTCAGAGGGAAAATTAGCAGGAGATAACTGATAACTGACATCCATTAAACATGGCACGTGGAACTAGAACAGTCTACCCCAGTGATCGAAATAAAGGGTTCAGTTCGAAATTCCAACCACCTGAAGAAGGCCGGAGCGTACAACGGCCGAAACGTTGTGACAAATATGGCGACAAAGATGAGGACAATAGTCCGACTAATGTAAATACTATACATAATACCTCATCTCAGAAATATAGACAGGCTTTAAAGTTAGATTTATACTAAAATAGAATTTATTCTAATAAGTATTAAATTGTAATAATAAATTTGAAATTAAAATTAAAAACTACCCATTTCAAAAATGTAAAATTTAATCTATATTAAGTTTAAAATTATAAAATTATTGAGGAAAAAAAAAAAAAAAAATTATTTTGTTTTTTTTTGTTTTTTTTCTATTGAAATTACGTTGGAATAAACGTTAAGATCGACTGCCCTGAACTTAATGAGATACGCGTGTATACATATAATTATGACATCTTTTCGAATGACAATACAAACACAATCAGATTATAATACATAAGGAAAGACATTTGTTTTTTTGAATATATACACACTTAAAAAAATGAAATGACGAGACAGGAAATATTTGCATTGTCAATATAAAAAAAAAAAAAAAAAAAAAAAAAAATTTAAAACACACACATTTGTTTGAAATGTGATTATATTGAAACGGAACGCTGATTTTGAAACATTTCAAAAATGTTTTGATTATTACTTACTTTAAAATGTCCATCGTTTTTCATGTTGAATTAGATATAGTCTAATGTTTATTATTTTTTATGAATATGTCCTGAAGATGGTCCACTAGGCATTAAAAATTAACGTCAAACGTTGACATTATATTAACATTAAAAATATATAATTGCATATTAGGATTTTTTTGTTTTTTTTTTTTATATTTTTTTTTTCAAAATGAATATATGTCATGCATTTTACTATAAACAGACACCGAAAAAGATACATATATACCCATATACATTGACATTTAGACATTTGATATAACACTGAAGAAATATTCAAGATTTTTTTAGTGATTTTATAACATATTTATGTTATAATTTTTTAAATAGATAATTATATTCGCCCTACTCTGTATTGAGCACTCTTTTTCAGTAATTGTTGGTTATTGGAATATATATATATATATATATATATATATATATATATATATATATATATATCATAAATCAATTAGGAAAAATAATATTTCCATTAGACTAATTTCAGTTGATAACATCAAACTTTTATGCAGGCCAGAGACTCAAAATTCTGGAGGTTGTTGTAATAAAATTGAAGCTTTTCTTTTTTTTTTATGTGCCGTCTCCGTTCAAGACGTTTCGATCATGGTTTTATTGTCTTCTATCCCTTACAGCTCTCAACATTTTTCATTCCTCTGCTTCCTCCCCAAGAGACCACGCTCTGTCATCCATTTGCTTAAGGCCGTTAGATATGTAATACGTTGAAATTTTTCATTCTCTCTTTTTCCTCTATTCGACCCAAAGTATTCATTAAATTTTAGGCCCTTTCCTTCCTTATTATGTGTCCAGAATTTCAGCTTCCTCTTCCTGATGTTAAGTATATGCCTCCTCCATTTAGCATCCTCTCTAAGATCTTATCGTGGCTTAAAAGAATATCTATATATATTCATTTTTTATATCCTCATATCCTTCTGTAGAAAGTATAGGTTGATATATATTTGAGAGTGTTTAATAAACAAAGAAACACACATACATAAATATTGAAATTTGACCGTTTATCTGACGTCATTTTAAATAATTTGAAATTGATTCCATCAAAAATATATGTAACATATTAACGAAACATGTTTGAAAAAAAAATCTGCTTCAAAAAATCACCAAATATATATATATATATATATATATATATATATATATATATATATATATATATATATATATATATATATATATATATATTTTTTGGAAAAAATTAACAAGAGATTGAGATTTAATTAATTTCACATAATAATTCATTGAATCTTAAACTAATGAGAAAATTATGTTACGGCCATGTCGTCTTTTTTGGGACTCATCAACAGTGCGCCTCCACTGCCAGGAATCGAACCCGGACCGTTACAATTCAACGCAAGCGTCATACCATTATGTGGAGTAAATGAAATCTCTTGGTCAAATTTCTTTATAAGCCTATTTCATGATCCAGGTTTAATAGTCTGGAGGTTGTGGCCTGGTGAAAGAAGATTTTTTTTTCATCAAATTTTTGGATACGATTGTATTTTTATTTTTAGGCTGCGCTATATTGAGACTCTGTATTTTATAACTGTCCGTCAAAAAATTTTTTAATTGGTTTTCTGGTATGATATTAATTTGAATCGTAACGGTCCGTGTTCAATTCTCAAATAGTGGAAATTCCTCAAACGTCCGTCTTGTTACATTTTTTGAATGGTTTCTTATTCTTTATTTTTTTTAATAATTTTAATATATTTTATATATTATATATATATATATATATATATATATATATATATATATATATATTATCAAAAAATCCGTGTTTATAAATTTATATTCATGTTAATGAAAGAAAACACTTCTTTGTGAAATCTACATTTAGAATTATTTTTTATTTTTATTATATTCATAAATTTTTCAAAAGCTATTGATATGTATATATATATTTTTGTTATATATATATATATATATATATATATATATATATATATATTTATATATTTTATAAAAATACAACAGAAGATATTTAGATTTTTTGAATTATAGATAGATAAATAGATTTTTTTTCTTTTAGATAGATAGATAAATCAGATTTATATATGGAAAATTAATTTTATCAGAAATATTCGATCCATTTTTTTTTAAAATTTTTTTTATTTATAAAAACACAAACACACAAACAAACACACAAACATATTTTACATATATATATATATATATATATTTATATATATATATATATTATATTTATTATTTCAACATATATATTTTAAAAATGTGAATAAAACAAAATAAATTATTAATATAAATTTTTAAGTTGTTTTCTTCATTTGATGTTTTACAACACACACAATATACATTTAAATATATAATATATATATATATATATATATATATATATATATATATATATATATATATAGATAGATATCTATATATATTTATATATATATAGATATTTCAGATAATATATATATATATTTAGATAATTGCAATATATATATATATTATAATATATATATATATATATATATATATATATATATATATACACAGATCGTAATAAGAAAACCGATAACGTGGTCCATAAATTCTGTGTCTAAATTCATAAAATCGAATGAAGAATTGTTCAATGTCGTCTCCTGTTGAAGTAACAAGTTCTGCGAAATTGGCAGAGACGCAGAGTTTAAATAAACGGATTTGGCCGTCGATGTGTGTTGCATTTAGTCATGTCAATGTGTCGAGACGTCAAGACAGTATGCCAAACGTGGCAGAGTTTCGTGAGAGGGTGCGAATAGTCGAACATCTTGACCATATTTGGCCAATGATGATAAATAAATGTCATCGCTGCAATTGCTTGCTTGGTGGCCGGGTCGCTTGACGGCAATCAATTTTTCTGTCACTTTTCTTAGTTTATTGATCTTCTATTCAGACATTTTTTTTTTTCCGTTTTTTTTTATTGCATTCTTTCTTTTTTTAAGACATTTTTTTTTCGCTTGTTCATTTTTCTTTCCTTTTTTTTTTTTTTTTTTAGTTAGTCCACTTCAAGTTTTATTTTCTACTCTCCTTTGTCATTTATTTAAATTTTTCTTTATTTCCTCTTCATTTTATTTTAATCTGCACATATGTTTTCTTTCTCATTTCCATCTTACCAACTGGCTTTTCCTTCATTCTTCTGTAGATTGTTTCTCTGTTGGTGTTTTTTGTCTTTTTTTGTGTATGGTGGGCATTATCTTCTCCTTTTCTTTCTTTCTTTCTTTCTTTCATGCAGAATTCAATTCTTTCTTTCTTTTTTACCCTCTCGATTATCTTAGTTCTTTATTTAAAATATGTCTACTCTCTTTCTTTTTGATACAATTTACAGCCTTTTCTTTCTTTATTTCTTTCGTTCTTTCTTTCTTTCTTTCGTTCTTTCTTTCGTTCTTTCTTTCTTACGCTCCCAATGGACTTTGTTCTTTTTTTTTTTTTTTTTTTATTAATTCTTTTTTTGCCAGCCGTTCCTAAAAAAAACAAAATCTCCCCAATTGCCTTTCTTTTTTTTTTCATTATTTTCCCTTTTTTTTTTTTGCCATTAATTACAATTCCTTTTTTCTTTTAGCCTTTCTTTCTTTCTTTCTTTCTTTCTTTCTTTCTTTTCTTTTTTTCAAATCTTTTTCCACGATAGCATTTGTTCTCTTTTTCGGTATTTTTTTTTTACTTTTAGCATTTCTTTTTTCTTTCTTTCTTTCTTTCTTTCTTTCCGTAATTGCCTTTATTCTTATTTCAGTATTTTTAATCTTTTTCTTTTTGCCATAATTTACAGTACTGTCTTTCTTTTTCTTTCTTTCTTTCCTTCTTCTTTCTTTATTTCTTTCTTTCATTTTTTTCCTCATAATCTGCTTTTTTTAATCTCTTCCTTTTGACCATACATCAGTTCTGTCTTTCTAGCTTTCTTTCTTTTTTTTCTTTTTTATTTCTTTCGTTTCTGAAAATCTCCTTTATTTTTTCTTTATTATTACACTCTTTCCTTTTTCCATACTTTCCTTCTTTCTTCTTTTCTTTCTTTCTTTCTTTCTTTCTTTCTTTCTTTCTTTCGTTTTTTTCTTTTCTCACAATCTCTTTATTCTTTTCCAGTATTTTTAATCTCTTTCTTTTTTTCCATTCTTTCCTTCTTTCTTTTTTTTTACTTTCTTTCTTTCATTCTTTCTTTTCTCACAATCTCCTTTATTCGGTTTTCATAGTTTTACTCTCTTTTTGCTTCGTTCTTTCTTCTTTTCTTTCTTTCTTTCTTTCTTTCTTTCTTTCTTTCTTTCTTTCTTTCTTTCTTTCTTCGACCTTAAATCTCATTCCCTTTCTTTGTTCTTTCACAATCTTCTTTATTCTTTTTTCAGTATTTTTCTCTTTCTTGTTACCATATTTTCCTTCTTTCTTTCTTTCTTTCCTTCTTTCTTTCTTTCTTTCTTTCTTTCTTTCTTTTTTCTCGCAATCTCTTTTATTCTTTTTCAGTATTTTTTACTCTATTTTTTGTCATAATTTCCAGTTCTTTCTTTCTTTCTTTCTTTCTTTCTTCGACCTTAAATCTCATTCCCTTTCTTTATTCTTCCCCATTTTATTTATTTAATTTCTACTAAATTTATTTTTTTTCTTCTTTCCATTCCACAATGCCTTCTCTTTTTTTTTCGCCACAATAAATTCTCTCTTTTTTTTTTTCTTTTTTTAATTATCTATTATTCATGATATTTTTCGCAATTCATCATCGTCTCTCCTCTCCTCAATTTTTCACGCCTGCCAATTCCAGTAAAGTACCGAAGTTCGAAGTTAAGGAATCCTGTCGCATTTCCACAAACACTCAACAGTTGTCCATCATTCCTAACCATTTCACAGACAGTTTCTTTTTCTTCCCGTCTTTCTTCATTCTTATACAGACGTTTCTTCATTCCCACCATTTTCGTTGTCTTCTCATCCATTTCCAAAAGTCCGCAAGAGAAAAATGGCCACTGGCATCATCTCGAAGACGAATACAAAACCAAGCGTGAGGAGGATTCATTCTCAGAAAGTAATCCTAAAATTAAAAGCAGTCTGAGATCATTTTTTTTTTTTACTTTTTTCATTAAATTCTCTTCGTAGTGATTTTCCAAGCGTAGCTCAGATGTGGCACAAGGCCGAAAGTATGAGGCACCTGGTGAGGATCGAACTCACTACTTATTTGTAAGTGTCCTATCGAGACAAGCTTGCTGACCATTACACCACCTCGAGGTGCCCACATAGTGATTTTCCAAGCGAGGCTTATATGTGGCACGCAGAAGGCCGAAAGTGGGGGGGACGGCACCCAGTGAGGATCGAAATTGTTCTAACGAGACAAGCTTGCTAACCAAATTCTCCTTGTAAAAACCAGTATCATCAGCCATTGCAATAGCACCTTTTCATATATTTCAGGTATTGTTCAAATGTCGTTAATTATAATTTTCGACCGATCAATTCTCATGCCTTCTTCATTGGCACAATCGATATGCCTTATGTCTTTCTGTCATTTGGAATTGAATCCTTATTTTTCCAAATGTCCGGATTGATAAAGCATAAAGTTATCGATCGGTCTATTCTCCTGTCGTCTTTAGGTCTACAATTGGTATACCGTCTGTAATTTGGAAGTGAGTTACTATTATTCCAGTTATCTGGATTAGTGAACTGATTCTCTGTGGGACTTTTCTTGCTAATATAACGTTTTCGACCGATCTATTCTCCTGTCTTCTTCCGGTGTAAAATCGGTGAACTGTCTGTCATTTTGTGATAAGTAACTAGTTTCCCCATTATTCGGAATGCTGACATTTATGCTTCATTTGTTGTTAGAATAACGTTTTCGATCGGACTATTCTCAAGCCTTATGCGTGTACAATTATTATGTCTTCTCTCATTTGGAACTGATTCACTATAGTTTCAATTGATCAAACTGGTGAAATCATTCTTGGTGGGGGCTTTTATCGTTACTATAACGTCTTTGACCGATCCATTTTCCGGCTTTATTCAGTTGTACAATCGGTTTGCTATCTGTCATTTTAAGTTGAGTCACTATTATTCCATTTGTTCGGAATACAGAACGCAGTATTTCTGCTGCTTTTTTTTTTTAAACCGGTTATAATTTATTTCATGAGCATTGTTATATTCAATTTTCAGACCGAAAGTTTTATCTGTCTGTCTGTGTCAGTTCCTATTTATGTATCTCTGTCTGTCTAATTATGCATCTATTTATCTCGATCTGCTCCTCTCTCTCTCACTCTCTCTCTCTCTCTCTCTCTCTCCCCTATATATATATATATATATATATATATATATATATATATATATATATAAAAAGAATCGCAAGATATATAATCCGGTGTTCTTATAGATATTCGCTTGAGGATGAAATGGAACTAATGTCTTTGATTTAATCACAAAAATTAAATTCGTGGCTTTTAGCTTCCATTTTTGAAACATGGTTAGAAAAAAACATATTTTAATTCAATTAATTTATAATATAAATATATAATATAGGAAGCACGGTGGAGTAATGGATAGCGGCTTGGACTGAGGAATCGCAGAGCCGCGTTCGAATTCCAGTCGAATCCATTACATTCACTTACGTGCTAATACCCTTGGGAAAGGTATTAATCCTCTTCATCTCCCTCCAGCTATGGGTAAAATAGCAGGACAGATTGGGTTCTATAGCCTTGATGGCAACTGGTCTAGGAGAAGGACAACTCTGAATTCAAAACCTGCGGAGGGTCGTTTGGGAACCTTGTGGCATGCAGTGCACCAGGTTTCTGTATTCGTCCCTCAAAAAGTGTGGATGGTCCTGCACGAGGCCTTCACCACTATAATCAAATCTCATGTGCCGGTGTCGGGCTGTCGGTTTCCTGAAACTCATCTACCTGACCCTCATACGTTGAAAAACGACAGGAGAGTCGATTATATATATATATATATATATATATATATATATATTATATATATATATATATATATATATATATTATATATGAATAGACAAAAATTATCACTTTATTATAGACAAAAATTAGTTTTATTATTAAATGATAAAAAAAGGTAAAAATGAAAAACGGGCTACCTAAACAGATTCATACCTCGATCAGCAGAGCTAAATCGAGGTAAATAGAATAAATTATATAATTAAAAAAAAGAACAATGGACGAAGTTTATTGGTGGGAAAAAAATTAAATGTTAATTAGTTGGAGGCCAAATATAAAGTCCTTCTGTTTACAAAGAGAAAGCTTGAAAGATAGAATATAGATGGCCTCCAACACTTTTAGGTGATAATTTGAGAGGGATTTGCTAAGTATGGTAAAAGCGTCCACACTAAAACTAATAGCACAATTATTGATATTTATAAGGTGTTCTGCAATGGAAGACCCGCACGTATTGGTCAAAATGTCTGAGGGAGTGTACTTCCGGTTTCGGATTTTCGCTGGAACGTGTTGTTTTATTCTAGCATCTAGCCTTTGCGTCGTTCTCCCTATGTAGTACGAACCGCAACTACATTTAAAGGAATAAATTAGTGTTATGATATGGTAGGAGAATATCCTTACGTATAAACCGAAGAACGTGCATGAAAGAGAAAGAACACAAGTGTTAGAGGCAAAGTAACAATGCTGAACTGCGGTAGAAACCTGCTTGGCAAACCTATCACTGATAGTACCTAACCAAGAAAAGCGTAGGTACACAGGACATCTTTTTACTATAGCAGGTTTCACAAATTCAGCAATTTTGTTCGTAGTAATTGCTTGAACTATGCCTAATGAGTAGGCATTGTTCAAGCAATTATTAAGAACAAAGAAATTCATCGAGTCTAGAAAAAAAACCCTCAACAGATTGCAGAAAGCACTGGCCGGCTGTTTCGTCCTATATTTGGGACTCATCAGCAATGCGCATCCTCTATGGAAAATTGAAACCCGGACAGTTGCGTTAGCAGACTAACGTCATACCAACTGTACCAAAAAAAAAAAAAAAATATGAGGTCACCATTCCCAAATATTGAAAAGAGTAGGCATTGTTGAAGAGAGTAGAAGTAATAAACCTGAGTTCATCATCCAACTTGATGTCCGAACAGATCATGAGAGCCCTATGGGTAAGGGTCTTAATTAAATTAATTTTGCGTTTCCTGGGATCAAAAAGAATCCCAACGGATATACAAACCAGTAAACGACGGTTTACGGTAAACTGAAGTAATAAAACCTGACGTAGATTGCCACAATTGATTTACGCTATAGTCACCGCCCAGAAAAAAAAAGTCAGCGCTATATTTTTGGAGGATTTAAATCCGATGCCATTTATATATGGCAGAATAATAAGAATGTTAAAACTGATTGGAATCACCATCAAACTGATTATGGATTAGGTTGGTGCAAAAATAATGACGTAATAATGTCGTTTTTGGACGTATTTTTTAACGTCAAAAAACGACATTATTACGTCATTATTTTTGCACCAACCTAATAGAAACATCTTCGGTGTCCTCTCGTCTTCGTCAGAGATGTTTCGGATCAAAGGTTGACTGAAAAATCAGTGTGATTTCCCATCTTCAGTAAATTTTGAAAATATCTTTTATCAGTGCTCTGTCTCTTGCTAACTCAAGAAAACATAGATTGTACAAGATCTTGAAAACATTCATTGTCCTTTTTCAATGTTTATGCTATGTTTGTTTGTCCAAAGTCTATGGCTGTTATTTTTCTAAATGGTATTGATGACAAAATCATTCCTCTAATAATTACTGTTTCCAAAGCTCTAACTTCGATATTAATACCAAGTCCTTCTTTGGTTTAGTTTTTGTTATATTCTTTACCTATGAACCCTAATGGGTATGTCTCAATCCTCATTAATACGTTGGGCACTATTTACATTATTCGGACTATTGTCCTCATCTTTGTCACCATATTTATTACAACGTTTCGCCCGTTGTACGCACCAGCCTTCTTCAGGCGGTTGGAATGTCGAACTGGTTCCATGTGCCGTGTTTAATGGATGCCAGTTATCAGTTATCTCTTGTTAATTCCCGTCTTCAAGTTATCCACTGCCTTAACCGTGTATTGAACTCACACTCTTTGGGTCCTGTCACTCGATCTAACCAACGGCTTTATCCACTGTGTCCTTGAGAATATCTGTGTAAGAATTTCTGGGTATTATAAACCTAATGTTTCAGCAATCATTTTTTTTACCAGTGTTCATATTGCAACTATATTGGAACTAGCTTCAATTGTAGCTGCCATTTAATGGTCCTGAGTTCAGTTCCAGCATCAGTAAGCGAAATCCAGAGATCCTTGTTCAGCAAGAGCGAACGGAGTATAAACATCATAGGGGAAAAAAAGAGATTTAATATTGCATATAAGATCCCACATAGCAACCAAAATAATAAACACCTGATGAGGGCTATTGGTAATAGGGGGGGTCTTCATTGAAGGAGAAGTGACAAAAAATGTGCTCAGCATTCTTTGAATATCATTATTATTGAGAAAGAAAGAAATATGGGGGATAATAACTGATGCGAGAAAGAAAGCAAAAACGAAATAAAGAAACAAACAAACAAACAACCAAACAAACAAACAACCAAACAAACAAACAAACGAACAAACAAATATGGGGGATATTAACAAAAAGAAAGAAAGAAATATGGGGGATATTAACTGATGAAAGAAAGAAAGAAATATGTATAGAGAATATGAAAGAAAGAAAGAAAGAAAGAAACAAACAAACAAGCAAACAAACAAAAAAGAGAAACAAACAAACAAATATGGGGGGTATTAACTGATGGGAAAAAAAAAGAAAGAAAGAAAGAAAGAAAGAAAGAAAGAAAGAAAAAAAAAGAAAGAAAGAAAGAAAGAAAGAATCAAACGAACAAACAAATATGGGGGATATTAACTGAAAGAAAAAAATATGGGGGATATTAACTGATGAAAGAAAGAAAGAAATATGTATAGAGAATAAGAAAGAAAGAAAGAAAGAAAGAAAGAAAGAAAGAAAGAAAGAAAGAAAGAAAGAAAAAAAAGAGGAACAAAGAAACAAATATGGGGGATATTAACTGATGGCAGAAAGAAAGAAAGAAAGAAACAAACAAACATACAAACAGACAAACATACAAACATACAAATATGAAAGATATTAACTGAAGAAAGAAAGAAAGAAAGAAAGAAAGAAAGAAAGAAAGAAAGAAAGAAAGAAAGAAACAAGTATGGGGATATTAACTGATGGGAGAAAGAAAGAAACATACAAACAAACAAACAAACAAATATGGAGGATATTAAAGAAAGAAAGAAAGAAAGAAAGAAAGAAAGAAAGAAAGAAAGAAAGAAAGAACGTACTCATGTTCAGGTCTATAATAATAATTATTATTACCTCTAAAATAGACAGAAGAAGCCCTACACAGTGATCTATATATAATGCCTACAGTACGAGCGGTGACACTGACGATAAATTTAGCCATGAAAAAGGAAGAAAAGGATGCAGTGTTCATTTGTATGTCCACAATGCTTATATTTACATGCGTCCTATTGCCGATATTGAGCAATGGAGGTCCTTATAAATATATTTCATTTGAAAATATATATATATATATATATATATATATATATATATATATATATATATATATATATATATATATATATATATGTCTGGGGGTGATGTGTGTTTAGTTCAGATGCTTGAATCGAATGTCGTACCACGTATATTGTCTATTCAAAAGTTTTTTTTTTATTATTTTTTATTTGTTTTGCTTTTAAAACTTTATTTTGAACTGAAGAGATCTTTAAGAAGAAAATTGAAAGGATAAACAGTGAAAAAAAACAAGTACAAAGAGGGCTCTTGTGATACAAAGACAAGCACCTGTTGTGAGGTTGGGTGGGGACTGTGGCCTTTCAAACAGACGGCATACTTATAGCTGCCCTCTGAGACAGAGCCACTTGTGTTTGCCGCCCTATTCATATTCGATGACGTTTCTCGTTCCGTAGTAGATCTTAATGAATGAAATACAATTTGCAATCTCTTTATTTTGAAGGTTTCTTTTTTTTTTTCTTTTCTGTCATACTTTTCCTGGTTATCTTTTTTTCTTTTTTCCTATTCTTTCCTTTTTTCCTTTTTTCTTTTTTTTCTTTTTCTCTTTTTCCTTCTTATATTTTCTTTTCCTTTCTTGTTTTCTATTCTGTTTCTTTATTCTACGTAATTTCTGTCTCTCCCTTTTTTTTTATCCCTTGTCCTTGTTCTTTTACTATTTCATTCTCTCTTCTTTTTTTTTAAATTTCTTTCTTTTCTTTCGTTGTTTCTTTCCTTTCTCCTTTTTACGCGATTCTCTTTGCTTGCTTCCTCACTTCCCATTCTTTTATTCGAGTTTAATTCTATTCTATCTAGAGTTACATTCCTTTCGGGTCTAACTTGCGATAAAATATTTTTAATTTCGTTGTTTCTTTCTTTCTTTCTTTCTTTCTTTCTTTCTTTCTTTCTTTCTTTCCTTCTTTCTTTCTTTCTTTCTTTCGTTCTTACTTTCTTTCTTTCTTTCTTTCTTTCTTTCTTTCTTTCTTTAAATGCCATTCTTTTCTGATTTTCATTTGTGTGTTCTTCTTTCCTTCCCTTCTTTCCTTTTTTGCTATTTCCTTCGTCAGTCTTTCTTTCTTTATTTATTTATTTATTTATTTCAATCTTTCTTTTTTTCTGTGAATTTCTTTCTTTTTTTGACTGTTCTTTCTTGATTTTCCCTTAAGTTTTCTTCTTTTCTTCTCTTCTTTCCTTTTTGCTATTTCCTGCCTCTTTCTTTCTGCCTCACTTAATTTCTTCTCTTCTTTCTTTCTTCCTGCCATTCCTTGTTTCTTTCTTTCTTTCTTTCTGCGAATTTATTAATTTTCTTTCTTTTTTGTTTGTTCTTTCTTGATTTTCGATTACGTTTTCTGCCTTTCTTCCTCTCTTTACCTTTTTACTATTTCCTACGTCATTCATTCTTTCTTTCTTTCTTTCTTTCTTTCTTTTTTCTGTCTTTCTTTCTTTCTTCCTTTCTGTGTTAGTTTGTTTCTTTCTGCTAATAACTTTTTTTAATCTCTCTTTTGTCTGTTCTCTCTCTTTTATTCCCGTCTTCCTTTCTTTCATTTTTGCAATTTTATGCGTCTTTCTTTCTTTCTTTCTTTCTTTCTTTCTTTCTTTCTTTTTTTCTTTCTTTTTCTTTTTTCTTTTCTTTTTTGAAAATCGTTTTTTCTTTTCTTTTTTTTTTTTTTCTTTCCTGATTTTCTTTATTCTTTCTTTTCTTTACTTCCTTTCGTTTCTTTTCGCTATTTCCTTTTATTTCTTTTTTTTTTCTTTCTTTCTTTTTTTTTTATTTCTTTTCTTTCTTTCTTTATGACTTTTTTTTTTTTTTTCTTTTTTTGGTTTTTTTTTTCAGATTTTCCTTTCGTTTATTTTCATTCATTCCTTCCCTTCGTTTCATTTTGACATTTCATGCATATTTATTTTTTTTTTTTTTCTTTTTGATTTTCGCATATGTAAGATTTCTTTCTTTCTTTCTTTCTTTTTTTTCTTTTTTTTTTCTTTTTCTTTCTTTTGCAATTTTCTTTTTCTTTCTTTTTTTTTTTCTTTAAAATTTTTTTTGTTTATGCTTTTTTTTTCTTTTTATTTTATTTTTTTTTTGCCATTTCCTTTTCTTTTTTTTTTTTCTTTTTTTCTATCTTATTTGTTGGTTTATGTGAATATATTTCAATAAGTTTTATTTCTTTATATTGCTTTCTGATATTTCTTTTCTCCTTTCTTTATTTTTAATTTCTTCATTTCTGGAACTTCCTTTGTTTTTCTTTCCTTCTTATTCTTTTTATCTATTATTTCTTGCTTTTTCTATTACGCTAATTCTTTGCTTCTTCTTTTATATCCATCATTCTCCTTATTTTCATTCTTTCTTATTATTTCCTGAATCTTTCTTTCATTTCTGTTTTTCCTTTTTTATCATTTCTGTTTTTCATTTTTTTCATTTCTGTCTTTCCTTCTTTTTTTTCATTTCTGTCTTTCCTTCTTTTTTTCATTTCTGTTTTTCCTTCTTTTTCATTTCTGTTATTCCTTCTTTTTTCATTACTGTCTTTCCTTCTTTTTTCATTTCTGTTCTTCCTTCTTTTTTCATTTCTGTTTTTTTTTTTTCATTTCTGTTTTTCCTTTTTTCATTTCTGTTTTCCTTCGTTTTTTCATTCCTGTCTTTCCTTCTTTATTTCATTTCTGTCTTTCCTTCTTTTTTCATTTCTGTTTTTCCTTCTTTTTCATTTCTGTTATTCCTTCTTTTTTCATTACTGTCTTTCCTTCTTTTTTCATTTCTGTTCTTCCTTCTTTTTTCATTTCTGTTTTTCTTTTTTTCATTTCTGTTTTTCCTTTTTTCATTTCTGTTTTCCTTCGTTTTTTCATTTCTGTCTTTCCTTCTTTTTTTTTTTTTCTTCGTTTTTTCTTTTTTTTCATTTTTTTT